TCTATTTGTAGTTTAACTTGTTTGCACTACGTTACATTTTAAAACGGTAAAACTTCAATAGTCGCCTTATAACACTAATACGACGTTGTCAACTACCAGTATCAGCATTTTGTTACGAGTAAGAGAAATGTTCTGCTCCTTCCGGGATGATTTCTGTCTTGCCATGTTATATCTTTAGAGTGTAACATTTAATCCGGCCCGAATAACAAATGTCGGAACCATTAAAAGTGTATTATCGTCAGAAATGTGATATCTGAGTTGTAAAAAAAAAAAAGCACGTCCTTTAATTGATTAATACTTGCAAACGAAGCGATAGTTCAAGTCAATAATAAAAATAAAATAAAACTGTATAAGTGGCAGGAATAAAATAGAACTTTATAAGTAGCAGGAACTCATACAACATAGACCGGTTGACGGACCGAAACAACTGATGGACAACTTCCTGTCCTATGTCAGGTCAAAATGCTGTCGCTGAGAGGGTTACAGAGGCTAAAGCCGCTTTTATCACAGCATGGAAACAGCAGTAAGACCGAATAAACCCTTGAACAGATGTGTGAATGTGTTTTAATCTGGTGTAACATTACCTGTTGTTGCTTTTTCAAAATATACCTTTGACTCAGTGGCACCAGCTGCTAATGCTAATGCTAATATATGAAACTATCGCTGCAGGTTTAAGACGTTTTACCGCCAGTTCTGATGTGGTCCAGCGAGAAGACGACATGGTAAGAAATGTACATTTTAACAGTAATATGGATTATTACAGTAATATATAATCAACAATACTGTTCTTGAATCTGCGTCTTTAAGCTGGTGAAGATGGACAATCCGTACAAAGAGCCACACAAAAGATGCGTCCTTTGCAACGTCACAGTGGATTACAAAAACATCCAGGTGAGCGAGGCACCTGTGTTACTGTCGGATAACAGGTAGGCGGAGTGTATTCATGGTGGTACATGTTGAGGCTTTGAAGTCCGTTCAGTTCAAACTGGCTTCAACGCTTTAAGATTCACGTTTATGAAAAGACACCAAGAATTCAGATGCAGATGTTTGTGTGCACAGTGACGTTCAGGTACAGGAACAGACAGGTTTACTGGTCTACCTGAAGATAAGACTGTCTGCTGTGAGGATGAAGTTCATTGTGTATTGTATGGTCCATTATTTGAGTTTAAGGCCTAAACGTTTTGCTAAAAGCCTTTGCTGTGCAGCTTATGAACATTTAGCTGGATCAGGGTGAAGCACATGTACTGCACAGCATATATAAAACCACTGATCTGTTGGTGTAATGAACACAATCACACATTCATTATTATTTGCACTGTCACTGCTTGCATATGGTTTTGAATTTCTTCATAGCCGATTAGGTTGTACAGTTTAGTTTTATCCTAATTACTTACCTGTACATATTCTATTTGTTTTTCTGCATGTCCTGCACATATTGAATTGACAAATCTTTGATCTTGATCTTCATAAGAGTTCCTTATACCAATATATGATCAAATAAGAAACAAAAAGGCTTGAACACTAAGAAGAACTTCAGTTGGAGATGCTATGAGCATAAATGTGTTTAACCAAAGTCAGAATCCCACCCCCCATCTATGAAACATTTCCTTATATCTAGGTGAAACAGTCACATCAGCTCAGGAGGAAACCTCGAAGTTGACATTAAATGATGAACTAGGAATCATTAACACTCCAATCAGACACATTCAGTTCAGGTGAGACTGAACTGTTTCCAAAGGCTACTATCTGGATGCATGTGGGAAAACAGATGAACCAAAACATAAATGACTAAAACCCTTCTGTCTTTGAACTATTGATATACCAGTGTATCTTGACCAGAGAGCAGCGAGGTTAAAAACCAACAGGCCTCATGAGAAGAAAGCAGCCAGCCAAATTTACACACAGTGTGTGTACTCGACTGCTGGTTCGTCTGCAACAGTTTTACATGTTGTGAGTTTCCCCCTCTGGTATCTTCAGAGTACCACC